CAAGCATAAATTTTTATTTAATAAATTTAAATTATTATTTAAGTAAACTAATGGTAGTATACATATCCAATTCATATAATATGTAATATGGGATTAAAGATATAATATTTCAAATGGACGAATATGTTTCAATAATGCATGGTTGAAAGCATGCTTAAAGATTAATAAAATATTTTACGGATTTTTTCTTGATCGATCTTTTAATATATTATTTTATTATTATTCACTTGCTTGTGTTTTCCCTCTTGGTCTTAAAGTCTTTTAATCCCTAATATAGATGAAGAGTATATGATTATTCTAGAATCATAAAGTTTTATATTTATATATATATAGTAAATTCTCTCATAAAAATCTTAAATTTTTTATTTTCTTTTTCCTCTAGTGTCACTTTTTGTTTTATTTGCGTTAGTTATTTTCTAAAAGATGAGATTATTTCTGATTTATATCGCATCATATAATCATTTTCATCTCCACCCTCACTCTCATTATGTCCTTATTTAATAAAATTATCTTTCGCTTTCATCCTCCTCGTCCTCAATCTCCTTTTCTATTTCTTAGATTTCAAGCCCCTTATGTCGAATGAGCATGCCCTTGCTTGCTTCTGCCACACTATTTTTGTTGCTCGATCAGACAACTCAAACAACATGGGAAGAAAGTGTACGACGATGCTTAATAAGATGAGTGTAATGTATGGGAAGGGTCCATGGCTGGTGGGGTTGGTTGCATCCTCCCCCACTAAAACATCGACAACATTAAGTATTGACGATGCCTCATAGTCAACGGTGGTAGCAAGGGGTGGAGATGGGATGGAGATATGGATACTCCTATAGCTATGAGAGACCATAATCAAATAAATTCCTTCTTTTTTTCCTTTGACTTTCCAACCCACTATGATGGCGAGATGCGGGAACGTCCAACATGTTTCACGTCGGTGTACGATATTTAAAGCGAAGTGCATTATTTTAAGACCCCCTTACGGCAGTCGCGGTGCATTATCTTATATTATACTCATGAGAACAATATCGATGTAGCCCAACAATTATCGGCAGGTGGGTGTGTCTTCACTGTAGTGATTTTATAGAGCCATCAGACTCGTCACCTCACGAAGGGTCTCTCCCCCGATCATCCTCCCCACCTCTGCAGAATGGCTGGCTCAAAGGCTCTTCCCACGTTCTGCTTCCTCTTGTGTGCCGCCTCTTGTGCGCTAGCAGCTGCTTCATACGACTACATGATCCTGTCTCTCATAGTACCTAATTCCTCTCTCTCTCTCTCTCTCTCTCTCTCTCTCTTTTGTTTCGGCTTTACAGAAAGCCTTTCTTGTGCAAACGATGACTCCTGCGGTGAACTGCTAATGAAGTCTAATGGATCGTGACTCGTGCAGTGGCCGGGGACTAGCTGCCAGCCAGGGTGGACCGGGAAGCCGGCCTGCTGCGTTGACCCGCTCATCGACAACCCCGAGCCAGACTTCCTGGTGGAGACCATGGAGACCTACGACAGCGCCACCGGCAAGCTCGTCGCCAAGTGCGAACCCAACTGCCGCTTCTTGATAAACCCGGTAATAGGCCAGATTAGATGTATGCAGTCGATGATCTCCGCTGCTCCCGACCCACACTGATCACTCTGCTCATGCCACAGCTTGTCGATCTGTTGGACGACTTGTACGCCTACTGGCCCAGCTTGAGCTGCCCAGCCCAGAACGGGAAGCAGGTGTGGAAGGCCGCCTGGTGTACCTTCGGCAACTGTACCAGCCTCAGCGAGGTGAATTACTTCGGCCGGGCGCTTCAGCTCCGGGCTCGAGCCGACGTCCTCCATGCCCTCGGCTCCAAAGGTAAGCAGCCCTGCCCTGCATGCCGACCTCGAGCTTACAAGTGTCTGCAGCTAACGCATGGATCGGTTCCTGATCTCAAGCCATCATCCCGTCGGAGACGAAGAGCTACAGTTTGGAGGACATCGAGGACGCGCTGGTGCCCAAGATCGGGTTCTCGGCGGTGGTGGAGTGCACCACGGAGATGGGCGTGCTGAGTCGGGAATACCTGCTCTCCAGAGTCCGCATCTGCGTCTCCGCCGACGGCAAGTCTATCATCGGTTGTCCCTTCGCCAGGAAGAGCAACTGCGGCAGCAAGGTCAAGTTCTACCCGTTCACGGACGACATGCTCGGGCGCCCGCGCCATCCGGCGGCCGGCCATATCAAGTTGCCATCGGACAAGGCGATATGTGTACGATGTCATGCGGATATCATCATCATCATCTTGGCACTAAAACACGATGATTTGCCTGTGTGTAGGATGTCATCATCGTCTTGCCATATGCTGGAATAAGATGATGTTTTATGATCTCTGTCTCTAAGATTAATCAAATAATCACATAGCATATTACCGGTCATGAACAAGTTGGGATTTTAATTAATGAAGGTAAAATTCCCATATGTTTGATGTCTGTTAGTGAACAAAAGTACCATGGCTGATGAGACATCACAGTTTGGTCCACGGACCGACGTCGGAAACTTCTAGTGGAATGAGTAGGATGATGAGATGGTTGCGCCTCTCGAGCGTTACGAGCGAGGGTTGAGGCGGTAGGGTCGGTCGGGTCCTCGCGAGCGGCTGGGGGTTAGCACTCCAAAGCTAGCCGACCTGAGCGTCGCTTCTGGCGAGATGTGTCCTCTCATCCCCGGGATAGTTGGCAATCTTTCCCCGCGACGTGGGCACACCCTTGAGATGGGAGATGCAGGCCGGCGCTGGTTGGGATCCGAACCACTGGACCACCCTCCTCTGCGCATTAGGTGACAACTTCAGGGTGGAGACGCTCGCAGCTCAGTGGCGATCACCTCCCTGCAAAACGGTCTTCGTCGAGTGTCTCTCGACTTTGGCCCCACCGACAAGCAAGTTAGATTAGTTCGGATTCCCCTGTTTTTTCTTCCTCCTTTTTTTCTTCTCTCATCGGGATCGGACGGGGGTATTTATACTTGCGTGCGAGAGTTGGTTGTGCCTCAGTTCGGCGTGGCCGCTAACTTTCATGGGGGTGGGATAACTTCTTTGACGAGATGGCATCCTTGGGGGTGCTTGAGTGGCGTCAGACGGCACTGTCCCAAAAGTAGACGACACCGCCCCGAGCTCTTGGGGTGGTCAAGTCGCACAATCACATAGTACCGAACTTGACGTGGCATGCACCCCGTGGTTCTGGTGGCGCATGGCATTGCGTTCGTGGCTATTGGTTTGTGACATTTGTTGGTGATTCATCTAGAGCCAAAATATGCCCTATCACTTCTCCCCCACCTCCGGGGTGTGCCGACGGATCCCCACGGTATTTAGATTGGTCTCTGTGGGCGGCCTTCATAGGGCAAGGCTGCTGCAAGAGGCTCGTCTCTTTGATCTAGAGGAAGATCTCGGAACGGGATGTGTTTAGGGGGAGAGGTGGGGGTCTTGGGAGTAGCAGCTCTTGTCGGTTGAGCCCCCGGCGGGGAGGCGTCGGGAACGCCGAGGCCGTTCCTCGAGACAGCTCCATCCTGAGCTTCTTGCCTTCCACGTGCCTCCCCGCCACTAAAGCCTCGACGGCAATGTACTGGTTGGCACGTAGAAGCATCTCAGAGATGGTCGCTGGCGGCTTCTCGATCAACGACCATAAGAACCTTAAAGGTTTAAGACCCATCATAAAGGCTTGCAAGATTAGAGAAGGGTGAGTATCTGAAAAACCTCGGATCTTAGTGTGAACCGTGCCACGAACTGAGAGAGCGACTCGTCCTCGTGCTGAGATAGTGCAAGCAAAGTGGCCATGGAGGGCCTGGGCCGTGCGCCGGTGAGGAAGCTTTGCTCAAATTCCTCGACCACCTGGTCGAAGGACGAGACTGAAGCTTGACACAGCCGGCTGAACCATGTCCACGCCGGGCCACGCAGAGTGGTCGGAAACACTCGGCACATCAGCACATCGGAGGCACCATAGAGGGCCATCTAGGCCCGGAATACAAAGACATGCTCCATGGGATCGAGCCTCCATCGTACGTTTCTAATGTCGGGAACCTGAAGTTGAGGGGGACCGGCTTATCTTGTACTTCTTGGGTAAAGAGGGACCCAACCAAAGCGCCCTCGCTAGGCTCACTACGCAATCTCCAAAGCTCACGCTGGAACTCGTCCAGGTGCTGATTGACCCGGGACAACTGAGCTCTGAGTGAGTCGTTCGCCGAGTCAGATGATATAGTATCGGGCTCTAGATGAGATGGGGTGGCTCAGCAAGCTGTGGGCGCATTTTGCACGGGAGGACCCCTCGGGTCCGTTGCTCGCCACGAGGCTGGCCCAACCCCGAGCTGTTCCCCGTTCGGGGGTTGCCGGGTCGGATCGGTCGAGGGCATCGAGGGCTGCCCGATTTGGGGAGTGATCGGGGCGAGTGAGTGCATCATGCCTGTCATGGTCTATACTTGCTTGGTTAGGCTAAGGAATGCCTCGGGCATCACAGCCGGGCCCCCCGGGGTGAGCCCCGGGGGGGATAGTCCCGGGTCGTTGAACAAGCGCCAGTAACGATCAAGCGTTGAAATCGGTATCCCTCCGTCCATAGGGGTAGAGAGGGGTTGTCCTTCTGGCTCAGCGAAAGGGAGGTCGGTCGGGGGTTCCCTCCCAGGGCACGTTCTTGCCAGCTATTCCCGCGACATGGGCCCTTCTTCTAGGGCCAAAATGTTAGTGAACAAACATGTCGTGACTAATATGTCAGCATGACTAGGCCCACCTGCCGACGTCGGGAACTTCTGGCGGAATTACTATCGTTTGAGTGGTTGCGCCCCTTAAACGCGTTGAGCGCCGGTTGAGGTGGCAAGGTCGGCCTGAGCCTCGCTGTGAGCCGGCTTTCCAAAGTTGGCCGATATGAGCATTGTTCATGAGAAGATGCGTCCTCTCATCCCCTCGGATGGTTGGGGATCCTCCTTGTGGTGTGGAAGCCTCTTGGAGATGGGAGATGCGGGCTGACACTTGTCGAGTCCGACTCGTTGGGCCACCCTCCTCTGCGTACCGGGCACCGTCCGTGTGAAGACGACATTCGCGTCTCAGCGACGACTACCTCTCTGCAAAAAGACCCTCGTAGGGTAAGTCCCAACTTTGGCCCCTCCGACGAGCAAGTTAGATTCATTCTAAATCTCTCATCCTTTTCTCCCTTTTTTTTGGATCAGGTCGGGGGTATTTATACCTGCGTGCGGTAATTGGTCGGGCCCTGGTCCGATATGGTCGTTAACTCTAGGGGCGGAACAACCTCTCTGACAAGATGACATCTTCGAGGGTGCTCGAGGGGCGTCAGACGACACTGCCCTAGCAGCAGACGGCACCGCCCCCAGCTTTTGAGGTGGTCAAGCCGCACAATTGCATCGTTGGCTCTTGACGTGGCATGCACCCCACGGTTTTGGAGGCGTACGGTGTTGTGTCGATCTGCAACGTCTATCGGTGGTTCATATAAGGCCAAAATATGTCCTATCCTAAGGGAAAAGAAGGTAAGGGAAGAGGAAGGGGAGAGAAAGAAATCGAAGCCATGGCCTACCGTCACAGCGATGTCATTCAAGGATCCAGGAATATCTCCGGCTATTTCTTGAAGAGGAGGAGACGGCCAGTCGAAGAAGAAGAAGAAGAGGACGGTGACAGCCAGGATCAGGGCGGAGAAGGCCCAGCTCCGGATCGAATGCATCGGTACCGCCGATGGCGTAAAAGGGAAGACAAAGGAAGATGATTCGGCGAGACCTTACGGACCTTTGCATTGTTCGAGTCTTCGTTCTCAGTTCCGATCACACAATAATGTCCACAGGCATAAATTTTAATTTAATAAATTTAAATTATTATTTAAGGAAAATAATGGTAGTACACATATCCAATTCATATGATATGTAATATGCGATTAAAGATATGATATTTCAAATGGACGAATATGTTTCAATAATGCATGGTCGAAAGCATGTTCAAAGATGAATAAAATATTTTACGGATTTTTTCTTGATCGATTTTTTAATATATTATTTTATTATTATTCACTTGCTTGGTCTCGAAGCCTTTTAATCCCTAATTTAGATGAAGAGTATAATATGCTATGAGAGACCATAATCAAATAAAATCCTTCTTTTTTTCCTCGCACTTTCCAACCCACTACGATTGCGGGATGCGGGAACGTCCCACGTGTTTCACGTTGGTGTACGAAATTTAAAGCGAAGTGCATTATTTTACGACCCCCATGCCGCAATCGAGGTGCATTATATTATATTATATTATACTCACGAGAACAATATCGATGTAGCCCAACAATTATCGGTGGGTGGGTGGGTGTGTCTTCGTGCTTATTTAGAGCCATCAGACTCATCATCTCCCCCGATCATCCTTCCCACCTCTGCGGAATGGCCGGCTCAAAGGCTCTTCCCACGTTCTGCTTCCTCTTGTGCGCCGCCTCTTGTGCGCTAGCAGCTGCTTCATACGACTACATGATCCTGTCTCTCAGAGTACCTATTCCTCTCTCTCTTTTGTTTCGGCTTTACAGAAAGCCCTTCTTGTGCAATCGATGAGTCCTACTGTGAATTGCTAATGAAGTCTAATGGATCGTGACTCCTGCAGTGGCCGGGGACTCGCTGCCAGCCAGGGTGGAACGGGAAGCCGACCTGCTGCGTTGACCCGCTCATCGGCAACCCCGAGCCAGACTTCCTGGTGGAGACCATGGAGACCTACGACAGCGCCACCGGCAAGCTCGTCGCCAAGTGCGAACCCAACTGCCGCTTCTTGATAAACCCGGTAATAGGCCAGATTGGATCTATGCAGTCGATGATCTCCGCTGCTCCCGACCCACACTGATCACTCTGCGCATGCCACAGCTTGTCGATCTGTTGGACGACTTGAACGCCTACTGGCCCAGCTTGAGCTGCCCAGCCCAGAACGGGAAGCAGGTGTGGAAGGCCGCCTGGTGTACCTACGGCAACTGTACCAGCCTCAGCGAGGTGAATTACTTCGGCCGGGCGCTTCAGCTCCGGGCTCGAGTGGACATCCTCCGTGCTCTCGGCTCCAAAGGTAAGCAGCCCTGCCCTGCACGCCGACCTCGAGCTTACAAGTGTCTGCAGCTAACGCATGGATCTGTTCCTGATCTCAAGCCATCATCCCGTCGGAGACGAAGAGCTACAGTTTGGAGGACATCGAGGACGCGCTGGTGCCCAAGATCGGGTTCTCGGCGGTGGTGGAGTGCACCACGGAGATGGGCGTGCTGAGTCGGGAATACCTGCTCTCCAGAGTCCGCATCTGCGTCTCCGCCGACGGCAAGTCTCTCATCGGTTGTCCCTTCGCCAGGAAGAGCAACTGCGGCAGCAAGGTCAAGTTCTACCCGTTCACGGACGACATGCTCGGGCGCCCGCGCCATCCGGCGGTCGACCACATCAAGTTGCCATCGGACAAGGCGATGACTCAGTGATCGATCCACGGATTACTGCCCTCTTGTCATGCGGATGTCATCATCATCATCTTGGCACTCAAACATGATGAATTGCCTGTGTGTAGGATGTCATCATCGTCTTGCGATCTACTGGAATAAGATGTTGTTTTATGATCTCTGTCTCTAAGATTAATCAAATAACAACAGAGCATATTACCTGTCATGAACAAGTTGGGATTTTACTTAATGAAGGTAAAATTCCCATACGTTTGATATCTAAACTCCATCTCTCCATCATTTGTGTTCAGCTTTTCGTTGAATTAGTGTCTTTTTTTGATACAAAATAAATGATGGGATTCGAACACAAAATTCTTCTGCCATCTCTCCTTCGTGGAAAAAGGAGATCCACATATTCCATATTCTTTTGTTTCCTCTTGACGAGACTTCCACTATTCTTGTAACCATAGAAATTGTTTCGACGACATAAACTTTATTCGATGAGACCATAAAAAATAATCTTATCTTACCTTTTTCTATTTTTTTCTTGTTTATCGTTTGATCAATATAGATCATACAAAATAATCTTACCTTTTTTTTTTTCTTTAGCTACGTAGAGTTTGTGGTTTGAACACAACTCACATAGTGTTTGACTACACATAGCGAAAGAAAATATTAAATTGGTTAGTCATCGTTCGTAACGTCAATGTCATATTAAGCCAATATTTTCTATTCGAACTCAAAAGATAGCTCGGGTCAATTACCGATTTGTTAAGCTACCTCCTCGATGAAATATTTAAATATTCATAAAAAATTGAAGATAATTCAGATCAATTAAAAACTAGCTAATCGTGAATTATTCCCATAAGACAATTCAGACTTTCTTACAAAATATTTGTAGGAATATTTCAGGAATATTAAAAGGTAGTTTGAGTTGATTATAAACTAGTTTTCCTATAAAAATATTCACAAAAATATATCATAAAAATAAAAAAGATAGTTGAGTTCGAACTTTTTCTCTATAGGATCTTCATTAAAAAAAAAATAAGTCTTTGTATGCAACTAAGTGCTAAGTTAAGCATTAGATAAATCAACTCGGAAAATCCCTTTCAATCTTAGTCTTTGTATATGAACGAGATCGAAGAAATCTTGTTCTATCGACTCCTCGTATGCGGATCAGGATCACATCATGCTAATACACGCATCAACGATATTTTTTATCCTAACATATAGTAATTGGAGGAAAGACTTTGATATTCATTATAATTATTTTTAACTCTTTATTTTCTCGGTTGCTGATTTCGGAAATCAAAATTGACCGTTCTGAAATTACCATCACCCCTACTTAGTGGCTTAATCGTGACTATTTTCAATCCCTAATTGTCGCAAAAAAAAATCCTTCTAGATCGGTTTTCTTAAATGAAATTATGAACGATCTGAATACATTTTTCTTGTCTACCAATCTCCGAGTCATGTTGTACTTGGTCAAGAACAAATTAATGCATGATTTCTTTAGAGGAAATCACATCTAGAAATCTTTCTCAGAACCGGTTCGTAACCCCTCCCCATCTCAACATTGTTCTTGTTTCGATCAGGTTGCTATCCATCTTCTTCTTATTAGTCCCTTCAATGATGTTCGGTCTGTGAAGATAAGAACATTTGATGGCGAGGAGTGGGGTGTTGTTTGGGTGGCTCGACTGTAATCAATGCTTCCATCTCCTTGTCCGTTCCCGAATCATGAGAGAGAGAGAGAGTCCAAATAAAAGAAGTCAGTCACATGGAACATCATCTGATCTTGTACTGTGCCATTATTTTAATGTCATCATTAAATTGGTGGTGAACAGCACGGCGACCATTTCTCGAAAGCGATGAGATCTGCAAGCCACGTGAAACTCGTGGGGAGAGGCTGATGGCTGAGACGAGGACAGCCATTTCTTGATAGAGCTGCCATGGATCCCGCCACCACCAGGCCACAACCAGTGTGTTCCACGATGGGCTTATATTATCCACCATCACCAAGGCAACTCGACAGCTCCTGCAGAATGGCTATCCTCAAGGCTCTTCCTGGGATCTGCTTGCTTGTCTTGCTGTTATGCTTGTCTTCCTCTCCGGCGGCAAGGGCAGCTTCGAAGCCCGACTACCTGATCTTGAAACTTATGGTATAGTTACCCTCTACTTGGTTCTGGTTTCCTGCAGTAGTGGTAACCATCGATGGCAAGATGGGTGATGGTATGATGTCCTTCTCACTGCAGTGGCCAGGAAGCTACTGTGCTAGCTCGCAACCGACAGGGAAGTGCTGTATGCCGACGAATGGCGAGCCGGCGGCGGACTTCCTCGTCCAAGCCCTGGAAACCTACGACAGCGCCACCGGTAAACCGGTCACCGGCTGCAGCAGAAGCTGCGTCTTCAAGATACTTCCGGTGAGTCTCGTTAGCCTCCTCCACCCGAGCTAACTCGGCCGAGATGTCGATGATGACCGCTTTGTCTTGTTTGGACAGCTGGTGAACATGCTCGACAACTTGTACACGTACTACGCCAACCTGACCTGTCCCAGCAACAGCGGGATGCCCCACTGGAAGGACGTGTGGTGCACCTACGGCACTTGCTCCAGCCTCAACCAGTCGCTCTACTTCGACCGGGCGCTTCAACTCAGGAAGAAGGTGGACCCCCTCGTCAACCTGGGCTCGAGTGGGATCATACCGCACGCGACGAAGAGCTACAGCCTGGACGACATCAACGACGCGTTGGTGCCCAGGATCGGGTTCTCGTTCACGGTGGTGTGCACCAGGAATTACATTCTCTGGCCTTTCTTCTACGAAGACTACCTCTACCAGATCCGCGTCTGCGTCTCCAGCGACGGGAGGTCGATCATCGGCTGCCCCAACGGCAGGGAGAGTAACTGCGGCGACACGGTCAAGTTCCCCCCTGTGTCGTACCCACTGCAAGGCCGTGAAGACGACGCCGTTTCCAAGACAGTGATCGAGTTGCCCTCCGGCGACGAGATGGCACTGTGATGGAGGAACTGCTTTAAGCCTGTCTTCTTCTGCTTGGCGTGATCCACATGCTTGCACTTATGGTGATGTGAGCTGTCGCTTCGTCTTTTACTCCCGAGTTGTAGAGTCGCATCTTCTTCACACCTGCAGTAATAAAAGTGGTCTTTCTTAAACATATATAACTGCACCAAAATGTTGTCTCGTATATATTTTTAATATCTAAAATATCATCTTATATTGATATAACAGAGTCATACATCGAACGACTCAAAACCTTATTCCGTAAAATTATCCGATTTAATATATTTTAAAAATATTAATTATATATATATAATTACATTTATTACATTCTATCTTCAGTATAATTTTCTTCAAATATTATATTTTACTGAGTTAGTGAAAATGAATTGATCATCAAAAAAATTTTAAATAATTGACTAATTAGGTAGAAATAAAATATTTTTTAAAATAATTTTGAGAACGTTCTTCTTTGATTATAATCAATGTTTCAACAATGCGTCGTTATTTTTGTTGGTGAACTTACGTGCCGTGGTCGAGGAGTCGGCACGTTTTGGTTCACATGTCGATGTCCAGAGTTTTCGACGTTCGGGAGTGCGCCTCTCGATCGATTGGAAGAAGCATCGAGGCCGAGTTGGATCAGGGGTCGGGATGGTCGCGTCTGGATCAACGGCCAGGATGGTCGCATCTCCAATGAGGGATTGAGCTAGTTCGGGGGTGGCCACGTTCCTGCACACACGCCCTGGTCTGGAGATTCCCGACTTTGGCCCATCGTAGACTAAGTCAGTGATTTTTTTCTTCTGTTCTTTGTCTCCTAGCCAGATGCCGGTCAAGGGATTTTATACTATTGTCCGAGGATCGATTATACGCGGATTTGACTTGACGATCGATACCCCCAAGATCGTACCTTCGTGTAATCGTCACCCGGTATGCGCGGAACGACGCCATGGGACAACGTCCCAAGCTTTCTGGGAAGGGACTTGTTGAGAGGGTGCCTCCCTATACGAGCTCCAACTCGACGTGGAAGGAAGGCAACCCTTGTGTTGAATCTGCAGGAGTGTGACGTGGCGTGGATCGCGACGTGGCCGAGATCCTAAATATATGCCTTATCAATTATCAAGTCAATTGTTTGCCGATAGATAATAACACG